GGTGGGGGTCCCCCCAGCACCGGGGCTTGGACAGCCCCAGGCGGGGGGCGCTGCGCTGGGACCCCTCCGGCCCCGTCCCGCTCCCTCTTCCCGGCCCCCAGAGCACGCAGGGCATTTGTAAAGTAAAAATCAAAAAAAAAGGCTAATTACTCTGGAAAAATCCTAATGGGGACGGGCCGTTCCCGAGCTCCTTTCCCGGGCGAATTATGCCCGTGAGGGTTTTAGCCTCCCCGTGGCAGAGGGCAAAGGGTGGTTTTGAATGGAAAGAAATATGGGTTGGGGGTAACAAATAAAAAAAACAGCTTTACTTTTCTTTTCTAAGGAAAGTAAAAAGCATGTGCATGAAAAGGAAATTAGGATCCGTCTGGTGCCAAAGGTTGAAGGCGATGATTAGTGTTACAGGCAAGCATGTTTATGTCAACCCAGTATCTCTCACAAGGAGAAGATAACACTGGGGCCCTGAAGGGATGAAAAACCAGCACTAATGTTCCTTAAATTTCAGTTTTGTTAATATTTTTATGAGTTTATTATGTTGGGGACCAGAGGCCTTGTAGATACAAGAAGAATAGGGTGGGCAAGCACCGAAAACCTTGCAGACTAAGTCAGGACAGCGGGTAGCTGGAGGCAGATGACTTGCTTCTCCTGGGCTCCCCAGGGCAAGTGGAGTGAGTCCAGCAGAAGCTCACAAAGATGGCAACCTGCACTGACCCTGAAGGTGGCCCTGCTCTGATTAGGGGCCAGACAGTCTCCAAAGGCCCGTAGGGTTGTGCTGTGAGGGACAGCACGGGGACACCTAGGGAGGAATAATGAGAACTCTCGGTTTTGCTGAGGATCCCTTAGCGGCATGTGTGGACCTTTTGGTTGGGGAGGATTTGAACCCACCTCCCCAAGGAAAAAGGCAAGTTTGGAGGACGAGTGCTCGTGGTGTGCTGCCGGCTGCATCCTCCCTGATCCCCCATCTGCCTTTTTTTAGAAACACGAGTTCTTTGTGGACATGACCTGTGAAGGCTGCTCCAATGCGGTCACCCGTGTCCTGCACAGGCTGGGAGGTGAGTCAGTGCTGGTGTGTGATGTGATGTGACAGCCAGCTCGCCGGAGCAACACCAGCTCCGGGGCAGGATGGCAGTGCCCTGGGATCCTCCGTCTTGCAAGGGTAGCACTGTGGATAAAAGCTGAAAGTGGGTGATTGGAAACCTCTGCTCCCCGCTCTGCTCTGAGCCTGCTGCTTAGCCAGTAGTGAGTCACTGATTGTTCGCAGGACTCGTGTGACCCTTGGAGAACCGTCAAGGGAAGGAGGAGCTGCCATGGCTGCAGGTGGCTCTGAATTACCAGGGCCTCATCCTGAACCCTCTGGGAACCGCACTGGTAGGCCCCTGCTCGGGCTGCCAGAAGGAGGGGAGGTGGATGTCCTGCCAGGCATTGCTCCCAAGGAGGCCTGGGGTATCTGTGGTGCTTCCCTAGATGTGTCAGCAGCAGTCACAGAGAAGAGCTGCTGAGCAGAGTATTTGGTGGTTGCCTGCACAGCCTGTTTTGAATACCACCTGGAAAATTATAACCTATGCCTCCTTTGTGCTGGGATTGCCAAGAGAGAAGGATGTGACCCACACTTACCAGTTGTGAGGACCTGTCATCCTGCTCCCCTGTCCTCACCGAGTCAGAACAGCTTTCAGTCACCAAGGCAAAGGCCTTGCAACTTCTTCCAGACCCTGTTATCAGGCTGCGGTGATCCCACTTCCTCTGTGTGTGCTTGTCAGCACCTCCATCACTCTTCAACATGCTGGCCAACATCAGCCTCGTGATGATGCGGCAGAGCTCTCAAAGCTGATACATACCTACAAGTTTTGTGAGAGTATGTGGCTGGATAGAGACTTCATGTCCAGTTCCTTTCACTGGGCTGAGAGTGGCTTACCCTTATTAGCCATTGGGAAATCCACATGAGAAAGTGTTTTTTCCTTCCCTCCTACTTACAGCTGTTAGCTGGTACCACCACTGAGGAAACCTGTCCTGACCCTGTCCTAACCCCTGTGCTAACTCCCTCATTAGTGCCTATCCATGCTAAACCACAGCACAGGCTGAGCTGGTTGGTGATTATAGTGGTTGGTTGAAACTTGGCTCATTCTGGTTATTGCATGAGTGATTGTGTTGATCCAAGGTGGGGTGAGCAAATTAACTCAGTTGAGAAACTGTGGTGTCCGATGTAGATCTATAGGAGATCTGGCTTCCTTCATACCATTGCTGGCAGGGCACCAGCTTGGTTTTGCTGGCAGGTGGTGGTATCAATCAGGGTTTGCTGGCAGGAGGCACACGCACATTTGACTGATGGCCTTGGGAGCACAAATGTGTGAAGGTGAGCTTTCTCTGTGCTCACACAATTTGGCTGCTTCTAGCTGTGCAAAATTTTTTTCCTTTCCTCTTAGGTGTCCAGTTTGATATTGACCTGCCCAACAAGAAGGTGTGCATCGACTCGGAGCACAATGTTGACACCCTATTGGAAACCCTAAAGAAGACTGGAAAGAACGCTTCCTACCTTGGGGAGAAGTCCGCGCAGTAGCCTTGCCTGGTGTGAGGAGGCTAGGTATATACCAGGTGTATGAAATGCTGAAGAGAGAGATCTGAGCTTTTTCCAGCCCTCCCAGTAAAACAGGCTGCTTCCTGGGAAGCACAAAGTAGGAAAGACCTGCAGGTCCAGCTTCAGCAAACCCCTCCTATCGGAGAAGCAGCCGGGCCACATACAGCCAGCACCATTTCTGTGTGGGACCCCTTAGCTATTCTGCAAAGCCCACGTGATCCCAACCATGGCTGTAGTGGAGAGGCAGAACACAGCCTCTGTGCCATTCCCAGGTGAACCTAGAGTTTGCCAGAGCATAGCATGCATGAAAACAAATCCCAAAGACATTCACCAGCTGACCAGAGAGAGTGGTGGCCCCCAACAATACCAGGGAGGGCTATGGGACACAAAGACCCCTGTGGGTACGTGATGCAGGGGGTTGGTTGTTAGCACGAGGACTTCCAACATCTGATTCTGTTGATATCACTGTTAATCCTCCACTAAACTCGAGGATGGAAAAAGAGCAGCACCCTGCTACCCTCACAGACATAAAATGTCGGGTTTGAGAACAGCTCCCAGTGCACACATCCCCTGCCCAACTGGACGTCTGTCCCAAAGACAACCTGAGTGTTGCAGCCTGTCGATTTTCCTAGAGTCCCAGCACTATGAGGACACGTACGAAACTCATGTACGGCCTGTGAAATGGTTTTTGCAGACAGGGTTCATTTTCAGTGGAAAAGAATGAAGTGGGAGGAGAGGGCTGCCCACTCACTGCATGTACTGTTCTTTAGTGTCCAAGATTACTATATTGCATCGCTTAAGAGCTTGTTTCTGTCAGTGGAGCTTTCTAATCTAATGACGTTGTTTTAAAATGGTCTAGTTTGATGACCACAAATACCTAGCACAAATGCACTGAAACCAGTTCATGTTGATTTAATTCCCAAGCAGGAATTAAACTGATACAAGAAAGAGTTGAGATGATACTAATGTGCGTGTGCAATAGATCTGCATTGTTTCAATAGACTGACTTAACAGGTTTAAAATCTGCAATTTTTATCATTTGATCAAGCTCTCAATACTTCTTAGAAATTGTTTAAAATCATAGCTTTAATCAAGTAACATTGCTATTTAAAACAGAGAGAGAAACATGCTCTGAATTGATTAGTACCTCAAATAGTTTTCAGCTTGTATTGATTGGAAGAGCTGTTTTCAACTTGCAGAGACTTGTGGACTATGTCTCAAATGCCTGCAAAAGTTAACCATTACAGCAAAGCCACTCTCAAATAATGTGGATGTGTCCCTTTTTTCCATGGCCCTGTGTTCTCACCGCTTTCCTTATATTACATCAAGGCAGCTAGGGAGTCAGTTCAGCTGGCCGACCTGGCAGAACATTTCTCTCCATGCTTTTGTTTTCCTATTGGATTTTAACTGAAGCGATTTGACTTACCCAAGGATTGTAAGATCCAAAACAAAGGAGAGGCATGGCTGGACTGCCCTTGCTCGTAGTTTGCTGCTAGATCACTTCACCTGTTATGGGAAAAAACACTAAATTTAAGTTTTACAGCACATTTCCCTCCGTAGGGAATATTTTTAGGGGTTTGTCTCTAAAAGGAGGGAGGGAAGTTGCAAATCGCTGGCATAGAGCTCAGGTGGATGGCTTTCCTTTGGCTTGTGACCGGCAGAGGGCATCTTTGTATAATGTTATCACCTCCTCTGTGCCTTGGTATTTTTTCCTTTTACTTATTTATTTATTTATTTTGCAGGAACTCAAACATGACTTCAGCAAAAAAGGTGGCTTAACTGTTTGCATATCTCCCAACTTGCTCTTTCATTTGACCTTTACTACCCTGCCAGATGCCGGAAGGCAGAGGGCTGGCAGGAGGAGACAGCTGCGTCTTGAGCTTTAAAAGCGGAGAAATCTAGAGGAGGAGGTTATATGCTGTTTCTAGTCCCACAGTAAATCGAGGTGCTGCTTCTATCTTTCAGTGCATGTCTATGTGTCTTGTGTGTCTTTGTACTGCTTTAACTGGTTTTCTGTAAAAGAGATGGCTCTTAGGGATGGGAAACTGGCCATTACGTGCAAGACGGGTCTCCCAGGAAACTGCACCTATCTTTAGAAGCTGACTGCAATCTCTGCCTGAGGGACATGTCTCAAGAGAACTGAGCTTGAATGTCACTTAAATTCAGGAAATCTGTGTCTTGGCAGATATCTTTCCATCACAGAACAGACAAAACCATCCATTTGGGATGCAGGTGCGGGGAAGAAGGGACCCTTGCAGCCCCTGTAAGTCAAGGATAACCAAGTGTCCTTTTGAGCTAGATGGGGCCACGAGGCAGAAGTCACTGGACCCCAGCAACACGATTGAGCTCACAGGACAACTAAATTGCAAGTAGGAGCAGGGAACATGGACTCAGCCTAGGTTTAGTACAGTGCTTTTGAGGGCACTGCATGACCGTATAAATGTGAGGAATCATTCCAGATCCTGGGCCCAGCTCAAGACACCTGGATCAGTCCCTTCCCCGGCAAGTGTTCCTCTTGCCCCCTTCCCACATACAAAATTTCAACCAAATAGGTAGTAGCATCATGGGGTCCTGATGCTGGGCAGGATCCTGGGTGCTGCATGCACCCACAGACACGGTAGGAGAATGCCTGTGCTGATGAGAAATGCAGAAGGGGTAGAGGAAGGGGAGGGGTGTGGAAATGTCTCCAAGGTCTCTTATTTCTCAGCCCAGTGACCAGTGTTATGGGCTATACTGTTGATTTGCCCAGCTCCCATCCATTTAATTCAGGTTTTCAGCCCAGTGAAAAGATTGCATGTGTCCGTCCCAGTCTGCTGTCTCTTGTTTCACTTGGGGAATGTCTCCAATGCCTACCAGTCACATGTGATTTGTTCTACAGAGAGGAAAACCAACTAAAGTTTGAAGGAAAACATTACGCTATATTTAAGAGATTTTTCATACTTGTACATTGAGATTACTTTTGACATAGTTGCAATTTATTCTTTCCCAGAGAGGTTTAGTACCTCCAAGTCCTTCTTAACCACTGATCTAAAGCACAATTAATTGCTGTAGATGTACTTGCAGGGGCTGGAGGTGCTTCAAGGAACATGCTGCAGACAATTTTTATTACTTTTTAATTTAAGGGAAGCTAAAGGATAGAAGTCTAACATCACTGCATTGTTTTCTTGCATTAAAATCTCCCAGGTGCAGGAGGTTTCCTGAGCCAAGGCCCAGAACCGCAACCTATTTCTGCTTTGTGCCCATGCAGTCAGATGCACGGCATGACACCTCCGGGGTCCCGGGTGAGCGAGTGAATCCCTTTCCCTAGCCCCCGCCTTGTTGGTCTGAGCTGGTGTTTGCCAATGCTAGTTGGCAATGCCAATTTATTGCTTTCAGCTTCTTCCTAGACACAGCCAGTGCATCCACAGGCAGCCGGTTGCCCAGTGGCTCTGCTCTGGTGGCAGTGGGCTGGGGGAGGACATGTGCTGTCGATTTGGCGTGGAGAGGGATGGCATGCGGTGGCACAGCTGGCCTCGGAGCCAGCAATCCTTGTGGCGCTTGCTCTCTGCCAAACTGGCAGGCAGGACCAGCACCGTTGCGCCCACAGAGGATCACTCCCAGTCTGTCTTGCTGTAAACCAGGCTGCTCGTCCTTGATGTCTGGGCTGCAGCTTACGCTATCCCCACTCCCCTGGCTGCTCTGCTCCCCTCTCCCTG